TCACCTATGAGAGAAAGAAGGGTGGTTGCTTCAAAGGGAAATTAAAAGGGCTTAATTCCTTAGAAACTCTCACAAAATCAGGGAGTTGTTCATGGCTAAAATGAACATAACTATAAAAAATGAGTTGTTTTAGGAAGAAGCTTGTGTGGAGTGTGTCATCGTTTACACAAATGGAAGAATAGTTCAAGGGCATCATGTCTACTAATCAGCTAGTAAAGTAAACATACTTACATAAGGAAATGTTTAAAGGGTAACATTTACATATCTTATGCAGGTTTCAACCGTTGAATTCTATCACCATGTTTGTTTGACATTATTGTTATTTTCATTCATGTAGGAAATTTCTAGAAACAATTCAAAACAAAATAAAGCGAATGACAATTGTAACAACAAATTTAAAATTTTTAAATTCTCAAATTAATTTTTCCAGTTGATTTGGTGGTTTCAAAGCCTTAATGGCAAATGTAACATTTTTTAGTTAATTCAAATTAATGAAGAATTGAAACCCTTTCTCATCTTAGTACTACATAAAGAGATGTTCTCCTCCTCATTCCATACACCAAACTTTGAAAGCTATCACATCTCTTTAATGTTCTCTCTTCTTTCTTTGTTTTCAAGAGTTTCATTCTTTATAGCTTAGATAGTTATTCTCTAGCCCAGGGATTGAATTGTGAGCATTCACATATCCCTTAGAGTAGTGACGAGGTGCTAGTCAGCTACTTTCAACCATTGTATTTTAGGAAACAGACGCCATCAGCCATTGTGTACCATAGTAAGGGACAGATATGTTTTAAGATAAAGTGTGTAACACAAACCTCGATTTCTTCTACTACTGCTACTACATCAACAATCATATATTTTCTATTTTATTGTTACTCTATTTGTTATAATATTTCTTTTCTTTATTTTATTTATATAATTTCAGTTGTATAGTTTTGATAGGATGGAGAGACATGGATGTTATTTTGCCATGATTTTAGGTCATAGGGTACATGAACAAAGGAGGACTGGAACAACTATGTGATGAATATCCTTCCAATTTACCTGTTTTATTGGTTTTTATGCCATGGATGAGTGGATACTGTTGGAAATAGTTCAAAATAAAATAAAGTGAATGACAATTGTAACAACAAATTTAATACGTTCCAATTCCCTAATTAATTTTCCCAATTGAATTGATGGTTACAAAGCCCTGGCTATTGTAACAATTTTATGTTAATGCAAATTAATGGAGAATTAAAACTCATTCTCATACTAGTACTATATAAAGAGGTGCTCTCGTCCTCATTCCACGCATCAAACTTTGAACGCTCTCTCCCCTCTTTAATTTTCTCTCTCCTCTTTGTTTTTTCTTGTTCTTTGTAGTTTAAGTAATTATTGCTAACTCAAATATAGAATTCTGAGCATTCTCAGTTTGCCTAAAGTAGTAACAATGTGCTAGTTAACTACTTTTAACAGTTGTATCTGAGAGACAGACGTCATCAATCCTCGTGCGCCACAGTGGAGGACGAATATGTTTTTGAGGAAACTGTGTGCAAAATAAGCCTCAATTTCTTCTAATATCGTTACTATATGAACATTCATATTTCTTATATTTTTTTGTTACTCTGTTCATTGTAATGTTTTTTCCATTATTTTATTTATAAAATCTTTGCATTATTTCTAATTCCCTTTTGTATTTTTCCTAACAGATGCCACATCATACAAACATATTAGCTAAGGAAGAGCACTTTATGATAGAGGTAGATTATAAACAACTTGAAATGAAGGAAGCTAGATGTGGTGCAATTGAGTTAAATAATAATAAGGGGTTGGAATTTGGAACATGCTAAAAATGGTAGACATGTACGCCTTAATACTTGTTACGCGCCCCTCTTCTAACAAGGTTCTAAACTATGATCACATGGCAGCCAGCCAGCAAGCAAGCTCAATCAGGTGAATCACTATCCTACATGGCCTAGTCGAGACCATTTATTAAGGTAGTCGAATTGATGCATCATCTCAGTCAACGTGCCATATAGTGGTCGACCTTCCATGGCCTAGGTAAGGTGTATAACCCGTTGCAGAATATATCAGAGGCAGTTAGCCTTTTAATGAGAGAAGACATCTCCCACTTCACATATTCCAAGTGATCTTCTGTACAAAATCTTCTTATGGTAATTGATATGATATTTTTGCAACAGACGCCTCACAATCAACTTGTCAGTCTACTTTTCAGGTCAAACCTAAGCTATATAGTTCTACTTTTCAGAAACATTGGTGCACCTGAATCTAGGATTGATGGAGTGACATTTAGGAGAAGACGCCTCGACCATCAAGATGAGGTCATTTCTATTTTCATCCAAAGGTAACAATTCCTCCTCTTCTACCATAAAAACTCACACTTAGTGTCAATTAAAGGTAATGAAATATTACACACTCAAGCGATATTACTATCATTTTACTCTCATACGTGCCTGGTTCCCGTGCACTATTGTGGTTTTCATAGCCCCCACCCAAATATTCCTATAATAGTTGATTGACTTAACCTTCAAAGTGCTTCCTCACCATCAGAGAAGGTCACATGCTCTTAACGGTTTGTTCAAGTGTATAGGAGATAAGCCATATGGATGTGGATGGAGCTAGGATCTATTGCTCACATTACCCGTGCAGAAATTGAGGTCAACAATACTCGATAATCTTCTTTCTTCTACTTTGTGACGAAAGTAGAAAATTTATAATTTTCATTTTTAATGTTACTTATTGCTCTTAATTATCTATTGTTCTATTTTAAATGGTGAGCAGGTTGTCTTGCACTTGATCCACCCGTTGTGCAACAAGGAGTTGCAGCACGGAAATTCTTGCCCTCATTTGCAATCTAATTGCCCGTTAAGATTAAGGATAATGACGGCACCCTGGTTTAGTATGCATAACTTAATATCAATACAATTTTTCCCTATTATACTAATATATTCTATTATATTAGATTAGTATTAATTATTGATTCCGATTTAGCGAGTCCTTTCTTCCGTCAGTCTTGCATTTCGTCTATGTAGGTCGAGGAGAAAAGTTGGTTGACATCAATGACATGTACGTGAGAGAGAAAAAGGATGCCAACCTCTTTAAAATATACGAATAAATACTGACAATGCAATGTAGTAAACTCTCATTTCGACTCGAATTCCATAGAAGTAAACTGTGCTACAGAGTTATGCCTTGCAACATACACCGCCATGGAATTGGATGCCTCAAGCATTCATATTAATGCAATTCCAATAATGTAGCTTAGACTCTTTTGGTACCCAAATAACCTTTAGGGTGTGTTTAATTGAAAAAAAAAATCATGGAAAACGGTCTTTTACCACATAAATTTTAACTTTTGAAGTGTTTGATTACTTTTTTTTTTTTTCCATAGAATATATTTTCCCACCTTTCAAAATATATTTAGGTTGTGTTCGACGGCTTTTATTTTCTTGGGAACTTGGTTTCCACCTAATTGATCAATGCGCCTCTTTTCCTTAAATTTGTGGAATTGAATTTCCCACCTTTTTGGTGGAAAATCTGATTCCACCTTTTTTTTTTATATGATAGAAACAAATTTCATAATCAATTATAAAAAAATTTCACTTTAATATACAATTTTTATGTAAAACAAAATCAAACGAATACTAAACTTTGATTAAAAATAATAATTTTGTAGGAACTTTTTTTTTATTTTTTTATTTTTTTACTTTTTGACAATGAAAGCAAATTTTATAACCAATTATGGAAAAAATTATTATTTTAATGGACAATTTTCATTTAAAACAAAGTCAAACGAATACAAAATTTTAAAATATTTCCGGGTGAAAAATTATAACAATCAAACACACTTAATTAACAATTTCCTGTAAAACAATTTCTAAACAATTACTTTCCCGGAAATTCATTTTCTTTCCACCTATTTTTCACCCTTGTAATCAAACGGATATTAAATTGATTTGCAACCGTCAAGTATTCCAAATTTATTTGTAATTGAAAATTTACCAAAATGCCACTTTTTCGTTAATTTGTTTTCTAGAATGAATGGAACAAATTAGACGTTTCAATTGCTTTTCTTTGTTATGGTTTCAATTATTTTGTATCATATTTGCTTGAATACAACTCTGACTCAAATTTAAAATTTACATTTAGCCAATACCAAGGGGTACGATCAACGAGCCAAGATTAAACGCTTTCTTATGATTACACCATATTTCCCCCATATATTTTGCTTATCGTTTTTTTCCTTCGTAAAACACCCTATTTGTTTGGTGGTTCTAAGATATCAAATTTCGAATGAGCTCCAGATTATATGGGATTGCAATAATGAACCGTTCGTAATTAATTCAAGCTATATTGTAACTATCGGAGATCCAATTCTAGCTTCAGTTCAGTTGTCAAGCACATCGATGAAATTTGTTTGAGGCATATAACAAGAAATATAAGTACAGTAATCAAGAAACAGCGTGAAGCAAAGTTTGAGAGAGGTTGAGGTGTTTTGCATTAATAAATATTAACACAAGCACGAAAGAATCATGGTAAAAACATTTTCTTATAAATCACACACAAGGGTTAAAATTGAGGCTGTAATTCTGCAAACCTTAGGCAAGAATTCACCTCAAATGTTTGTTATTTTATTACCAATGGAAGACTTAACATGGTGGTCTTGGGAATGTAACTTGATCCAGATAGAGTAAATTTTCAGTCAAATCACTTCACCTCAAACAGGCACAATGGTTGTTAATGTACCAATCCACAACCTACCTAAATGCATGCATCAACACTAACTTCATCAGCATTACAAAACCAAACCAATTTTTCCCACCAAATCAAATAAATGCCGACCAATTCGATCCACAAGGATTCACTGCCATGTAAAGCAGGGATTAGTTTTTGTTGCAATTAAAAAAAAAAAACAAAAAAGGAAAACAAAAAAAAAAATAAAGGATAGCCAGTTGCCTGACTGATGCGTCCTATGATCTCTTTTTTAATCTATATCCTCAACCTAAGGGGTGTCGTCTCCTGCACATTTACAAGTCAAACAACGAAGCAACAAATCAGATAGATTGGGTAGAGCTTTACAGTGGTAATTGTTTCCTAAATACTGCGAACAATAATTCTCCCTTAAATATTATAGTTGTCTGCATTAATTGATCTCCCTTATATTGGATCATGTCAAAGAAATATAGGATAAGAAGTGTGGCTGTGTCAGGGGAGGACATGTTCGTGTCAGTAAAGAATTTAAAGAGGAAATACGTGGGAACTGATGAATATACCCGTGCACAGCACAATATATGCCCCACTTATTCCAAGAGGCAAAAAAGGTCAAAACAAACAAGATGCCGTGCTAATAACATATTCTTAGAAGTCCAAGAAATTTGAAGAATCCTGAAAAAGTGGAAAGTCTTATATGTTACCTCTTTGGCCGGCTTCGATCTTCCTCGTAGTCCATCACTCCGCCGTGTTCAGAAAAGATCTCCTCATGCCCTCGGAACTCGTTGTCGGCCTGCTTACAGTTTGTAGCTTCTGCCATAATGTAAGTAAGACACATCCACTAACAATCCCAAGCATGAATATAAACTAATTTTGCCTCATCATTTTAAAACTGTAACTATGAACGATAACAAAGAAGAAAATTAAGATACAGATTGGTCATCATCTAATCCTCATTCATTTGATTCAGAAGGCATCTGTCAACGTAGTCAATTAGACCAGACTTACATAATTATAAAGTGTTATACTGAGAACAGGCAAAGCACCGACATAAAAAAGGGTTTATGTAAGCAGTGAGAGGAAGTATTCAACTTAATTAAAATTTAAATTCACAGATCACAATAGACCAGTAACATGCAAGCTTCTAGAACTTCCTACAGCCTCGCTAAGAATTTCCAGTAATAGAATCCCAATGTGAAACATAAGTGCATACATGACACACAGGGAGACTCCACCACACTCCCATACAATAATAACTCATGTTCTGATCAAAAATAATAATAAAACATGTTCGATCAGTACATTCTTGAATGAGGAAATGTGCATTTAACCTTCAAATAAATTGCTTACAATACATCGCACATATACTGAAAGTTGGGAGTCACAATGACGAGGAAAAAAAAAAACCAGCACCATTAAGAAGATAAGCTGACCTTGAAGGATAGTGTCTTCTTCACTTCTTCCGCCCTTTCTTCTACTTCTTTTCGGTGCTTCTTGTCCATTTCACTCATATTATCTGCCCATTTGATCTTCTCTTGAATTGAGACGAGTAGATTGTCTGACGTAGACAACCTAAGATATGGTCAAACCAATAATTTATTAAAGGATTTAGATACACGCGACAAACAGAAAAGAAAAGAAGCACAACAAGCTTTATAAAGTGCCCTTTTAAAAACCTCCAACCTCAGGAATGTTGACCGCAAGAATAATGCCTTAAATTCGTTGTTTGTGATTTCAAAAGACGAGTCTCAAATTCTTGACAATACCACAGAGAAAAATAAACACCCTGACTGTTTATTTGAGTCATCTTTCAGTCTTCAAAGAAGCTATTAAGCCCATTTTGTATGGCCATTATTTTGAGAAAATGGAATTTTAAATAGTGATATTTTTTGGCGAATATATGGTTAAAAAGTAGGGAAAAGTTTTGGGTTTACGTACAAAATATTTTATTGTATAAATACGAAAATTAAAGAGTCTTGAAATAATGATCGTCAAACAAGGGCTAAATCTAAAACAAATAGTTTCATTGTTATAGACAAGAAGACCGACCATAAGTATGCCAGATAGAGATATTAACTAAGCATATCCTACATACTAAGACAACACACTAGAACACATTAAGTTAGTAAGTCCTGCATACTAAGATGGTCAAACAAGAAATGAATTTGAGTTATTTGAATTGATAGAGCACTACTACAATAATTAAGAAATGAATGAAACATTTAACTCCCCCAAACAAAGACATTACCAGTTAGCCATTGTCTGTATCATACTTCCCAATTGCCCTGGCCTTAGATCCCTCCCTGCCGCAAATTGCACCTACAAGTTCACCAGAATTAGACTAGCTGCCAATTACCAGTTTCATAAGTTGGGTATCCAAACAGTTAAAACAAGTGAAACTAAAGCAAGACCTCAAAACATCTCCGCAACTGATCGAGCTTCCCTCTGACTATCCCCTGAATGCAAAGCAGTAACAAAATCAACGCATTTAACATTGCAGTTTCGTCAACTAAAGAACCACTGCCAATATTATAGCATAAGAACCGAGAAAACAAAAGAAAAGCCAAGAGGGAAAATTAAATGGCAGAAAGTGAACTGAACTCAACTGAGGTCAAGAAGATAAAATGGAAACTTACCACATACATGCAGTCATTGATGAGAAAATCTTCTAACTCACGAACATTTGTAACATCCAACTCCTTTATCAATACATCGTAGGGCAATACCTGGGCAAAAGGCCAAATAAATGCTCAGAAGTAGAAAACACTTTTTTGAAATAGGAAAATGGTTGTGATTCCAAGTGATATAATAATAAACTTTGAACAATGGGGGAAAGAAGCATCCAAGCAAAGCATAGTTACAAGGATAACATTTTCCAATTCCAATTCACGTGTTAAACTAAACTTTTGTGTTCAGAAATGTAAGCAACCTGCAGCTTCCAAATTTACCAACAAGCACAAGCACAGAAAAGATTTTTTTTTTTTTTTTTTTTTAAAGTTAAAAGGGAAAAAAAATTGGACTTTGATCAAATGAGTAATAAGTCAAAATATTTACACAAATTTGTCATCATAATTTTAAGAAAGAAATAAAGAACATGTCAAGATATGATACCTTATTTGTCTCAGCCAGGGTAAGCACACTCAGTTGCTTCAGCTTGAGGACTTGATCAGGAACCAAAGGTGGAAGATGACATGCAACGCCTGCATCGCAACATATATTACATAGAACTCAGCCTTGGAGAGAATCTGACCTCTATGAAACAAAAGTATATGAAGATCTTATAGGAATGCATTAGCATTAATATCTAGTGGGCACAGCACTTATTTTATAAACCATACATATAAAACAGACAGGATACTTGAAAAGAACCATTTACAATATAATTATGAAGGCTTTCTTTCTGAGGGCTTATCCACCTCCAAAGAATGGAACATGCACAATAAGAAGAGTTCTTAAACATGGGAAAGGGTATCCCTGAAATCATGGACTAGGTAAAATAAAATCATCAGAGATACATTAAAAATGACTACATACTCCAAAAATTATCAGCTGGATGAGCCCTGCATTGTCTTGTTTGCAGATAATGCCAGAGAATCATTACAAAATTTCTCAAACCCCACATAAGCTAATAGGACAAATTCCTTCATCTCTACTTCGTATCTAGCTCAGTATTTGCCAGTTCTTTTTGCATTTTTCACAGGAGTTTAATGGTCCATAATGATGCACAGAGGCCATGTTATTGTTAGAGGGAACTTTGAAACCCTCCAAAATCCCCATTATAAACATAGTGAGAAGCTATAAATTTCCAAATAAGTATCTCTAATGTCCAAGGTGGGGCAAGGTTGCATGGTGAACTCCACAATTTTCATTTCTATCTTTTATCCAGCAAAAAAGATCAGACAGTCCTCATTTATGCTGTACATGGATGATTTCATTCCCCAGACAGTGAATCACACAGAGTATTCTTATGCTAAACTCCATGCTCCGGAACACAATATTTATTGGAGTCTAAAATGTATAGCTGCTTGTTTGAAACAAGACGCCTATAACAAAAGAATTTAGAAGTATCCACCAAAAAGATGCATAAAACTTAAATCTTAGGGCCTGTTTGATAGCACGAAATTTTCTAGGGAAGTTGGAATTCGTTTTCCATTTTCCACTTTCAGACTGTTTGGCAGGCTAAATTTTCCATGGAATTCATTTTCCACCCTTATCTGATTTTCCAACCAAGTCCTGGTTTTCCAAGTTACTTTTTTTTTTTTCTTTTTTTCTTTGGCAATTGGAATGAATTCTATTCCCAATTGTAACAAATTATATCCCTTTAATTGACAATTTTCATGAAAAACAAAGCCTAACTAATAGTATTCGTTATGGTAATTTTTTTTTTTATTTTTTTTATTTTTTGACATTTGGAACAAATTCTAGACCTAATGTTAAAAAAAATTATCACTTTAATGGATAATTTCTATGAAAAAAAAGAGTCAAACGGACACTAAACTTTCAACATTTTCCAAGTGGAACATTATACCAATCAAATACAATTAATTACAATTCTCAGCAAAACAAATTATAGGCAATTCAATTTCTTGTAATTCATTTTCTTTCCACCCAAATTCCACATTTGCAATTAAACGGACCCTTAAAAAAAATACATTGAGAAAGATAGTAAAAATACATTTCCATGGAAGTGATTCATCGAGAAAGCAGCCAGAAAAAGAAAGATGATCTCAGGATGCATGAAAACACTAAGGGGACTAAAGAATGAGCCAAGAGACTTAGATATAGGCATGAATAGTTGGAGGTTGTCACTCAAACTTTCTAGAACAGCAGAATAACATGATCAAAAAAGTTTCCCAGTGATTCTCAATGAAAAAGACCAAATAATATAATTAATAGTATCAATAAAGGGAAGATAAGGTTGTGCAAACTGTATCAGTTTTGATCTCTTCTTAGTCTGTAAATGTATAAATCTTGTGATTTGCTTTAAAAACCATTTTGCATGATGTTCTGGATTAACTTTTCAGAATTTTAAATAGCATGGACCATCTAAATTAAGTGCATGTGGTTAAATAACTCCGAGCTATTGCACTACAAATTTTCATTTAAAGATAATATGATTAGAGATGCCAATGAGGTTAGGTTTCCCCCAAGCTGTAAAGTCGTCATGTAAGTACTGTAATTATATTTTGGGTTTTGCAGTAGGATATTAATCAATTCACCATGTAGATAAATTCTATTTATTCATATTAAGATAAGAAACTCCATACGTGTAAAATCCTAAATATGAAGAATGGCAAATTCACTTGGAGTTCCAAATAAATTTCAGATACAGATCCATGTACATGTATCCACCAAAAGGCATCAAGAAGTGGATACATCATACATAAAGCATCATTGTGGAACCTTCATTACACGCACTTCAGAAGCACATAATATAAACACGAGCAATACTATCATAATACAATTCCACAGCTAGTGAATGCACACAGATAATACCCAGAATACAAATACCAACGCCAGCTAGTATACTTCCTTTTACGTTGGGTCAACATCACGCATTCCTGACATGAACAACGCTCAGCCCAGTACAAATCTTGCCACTTTCAACCGAATAGAGTCGTCACTCTCCATTCAGACCAGACAATATAAGACTAGTAACTCTTGTAATATCACAGCAAAAGGAATGAATTGAACTAACTTGAAGCACCATTGTGGATACAACACCATGATAAATGACAATACAAAGATTAAAACGCTTACTCTTATATTCACTCCATGTACCATGTGCAAACATACGAAGCAAATCAAGAAAGACCGCATTCTCAGTTCCTTCGAGCTGCACATGAATCCAATAATTTAAAGATGGAATTATAAAGAATATAAAAAAATTTCCTATATAAGCTTCAGCTGCAGAAAGACTACCAAGCTGTATCAAAAAAGGAAACTAAATATTCACTTAATAGTCCATTAAATAGTTATATTGAAAATAATTGAACTCAGCCATTATAGAATGTAACAAAATTCCTTTCCACATCTCCGTCAAATTCATGTTCTCTTTCTTCACTCTTTAATCATCTTTGGACATTCACATTAGTATCTTATGTCAGACAATCTTAGGAAGGTTTGTTTTGCTTTTCCTTTCGCCCTCATGTCTTCCATCTTGATTCAAAGATTTTCCAATTTTAAAAAGATTATACCAGGTATCAAAGAGTCAATTAAGCAACGTGTCACGACGAGGCACTTTGGGACTACGCCTTAACATAGCCAATAAGATAATTATGAAAATTATGAAAACAGAACTATACTCACTGTAAACCATAAAGCATATAAAAAATCCATAATAAAACCTCTCAATAAATTTAAAAGTTTTACTTGCATTTAAAAAAGGTAAAAAAAAAAAAAAAATTGTTTTTCTGCTTTCAATGTATACTCCCTAATATTTCGGAATATAGGCCATGTTTGGGAGTGATTAAATTTTTCTCCAGTAAATCAATTCTCATTTTCAACCACACATTCTTCAATGAAATAATATTTTTCATCACATCAATAATTTTTTCTTCTTTTTTAACCACACATTTTTCATCATATTACTATTCAAAANATGGTAAAGTGCATTACATGTACCCAGTTTAGCCCAATGAGAATCGAAGAACACAATAAAAAATAGTTCCCGTATACACCTTTGATCAATTGAAATAAAATTCAAATGACTCTGAAAAAATCTCAAACCATTGGAGAACCATGATTTATTTACAATGAAAATATTCGATAAATAACATTATCTTTTTAATCTTAAATATTGAAAATATAAAATTCCTCTATTTGGCAAGCACAGTTGTGTTTAATTTGTATATCACTTGGAAACACCATCAATTGAAACTAAAATTAACCTTTTGAACTAAATTCTTATTTCCTAAATCAAGAAATAAACTAAATAAATGAACTGATCTTCTAATTGGGGAATATACTTGAGTTCAAATTGATGATAAAATCCCAGAAACATATAAAATGTTTTGAACTGGTTTCTTATATATTCACATTTACAGACAAAACTTAGCCCCCGTTTGACACTCATTTTTTTATCTCATTCTCATTCTCATTTTTCTACAGTACTCATTTCTAACCACACATTCTCCAAATAAAATAATATTACGCATAAATACAAAAATTCTTCTTACTTTTTAACCACACATTCTTCACATCAATCACTATTCAAAAACTCATTCTTCAAAAGAATGGGTGCCAAACAAGCCCTTAATGCCATTTGTATCAAATCACTATTGAACAACAAATCCTAACATGACATCTATCTCTTCTATTTCTCGGTCTATTGTAAAAAATCCCCCTTGGAAACACACTGACATGGTTATCACTTGGAAGTCATAGCCAAATAATACGAAGCAAGCTGTAATAGATTCAATCAATCCATTTATCAACCAAATAAATACCAAAGTATTTTTTTTCCACAGCCATCCCAACAGAAAATCAAAAATGCAGAGAAAAATGTATCAGAGAATCAAATGATAGAGAACAACAACTTGCTTACTAAAGGCTTTGAACAGAAAAGCTATATATTCAACTAAATTCAATGGGAAAATACTTAAAACTAAACAATATTTCCACAAGCATATAAATAAAATACAACTGATTATGTATACCTCAAGGACGTTAGGAACAGAGAGAATCTCAGCGAAAGCAAAAAGAGATGGGTGGGAAGTGGCCTCAACAATGACGTTTCTGAGGGCGGAACCCTTGAGATTCGACGCCTGCTTCACTAAGTAATCTATGTGCTCCGCTTGCTTTTGCTCAATGTCCATCTCTCAGATTCCGATTTCTAATGATCTGCCCCCTAAAAATTTACAGAATTTTTATGCATAAAAGTGTGTATATGTACAGATACACTTGTTGTATTTTGTACAAATCGGATTTGGAGAAAATCAAAATCTGAGGTTTTGAACAGATACACTTGTTGTATTTTGAAAGAATCGGAATTGGAGAAAATCAAAATCTGAGGTTTTGAAAGATGAGATTTTAGGGTTTAGAAATTCTGAAGAGGATTTTGAGAGCCCCTTTACTTGGTAGAGTACACGGGACTTTTGGCTCGGTGCTAAACTGTGTCCCTTTATTGTGCTATTTTGAGACGAAGGTTTCTCGAACCCGAATCCGGATTTTCGAGAGAATTGTATGGGTTTGATTACAAGTCTCTATTTGGTACACATTATTTTTTTCATTCTCATTCTTCTACTCATTTTCAACCATATATTTTTCAATAAAATAATATTTTTCATCACATCAATAACTTTTTCTTCATTTTTAACTACGCATTCTCTATCAATTTACTATTCATTAATACATTCTTTCAAAAGAATGTGTCCAAACACACTCTAAATTATTTTTTGAGAAAAATACAAAACTACGGTTATTTTGATTATACAATTTCACAAAAAAACTAATTAATTTAAGATATTTTCATCAATAATATCATATTCTAAGACATATCCATTAATAATTATTTGTATCACCTCTCTCTCTCTCTCTTTTTTTTTTTTTTTTTTTTTTTTTCTTACACCTCCCACCTTTTCTCCGTTTTAGAATCTCTCTCAATTCCAAAATTATGAATTTTTTTTTTTTTAAATTAGCTGAGCACATTTTAACTACTAATAAATTTTTATGACCTATAATTTAATTAAATAGGTCGCGATAAAAATAATACATAATTTATAATCACAGTCACATACTGGTCACAAATCACAAGATATAATTTATTGGTCGCAATTATAAATTTAATCACAAATTATACATTTTTATAGATTGTAAATTATTTATTGATCACAAATTACAAAATTAACGAGTCATAGTTACTCTTCATCTCACACCGCCTCACTCCCGCCTCACTCCACTGCAATTGGAATCACTCAAATCACCGCAGCCACTTCAAATCCATAATCTACCACCTCCTCTATCTTCACCTAAAATCCACGACCACCTTCACCACCTAAAATACTCTAAAGTCATATATGTATATTCTAGTGGCCATCATTCCATACTCATCGTTGTCACAATCCACACACTATCACCTCAAATCCACAACCATAATCACCACCTTTACCTTAAATCCATGAACCACCTTCACCTCAAATGTATCACCACTTGAGGAAGCAGGAGATAACAATCGCAATGCTACACGTGTCGCGATTTTAAGGTCAGATTTATGTTGCCATCAAGATATACTGGGTGTTTTCTGTTGCCACGTCAAGAAATGATGCTTCCTATTCTCAGCTACAGAGAGGGTAGTGGAACAAATTGAGAGAGAGAGAGAGAATATAATTTTAGAAAGAGAAATGATTTTAGATAGAGAAGAAACGGTGTTTTTGTTTTTGGAAAGATACAATAAATAGGATGGTTATAGAGATAGAAATAGTTTTGGAAAAAATGCATAAATAGTTTTAGACAAAGATTTGATCCTCATTCTTCAGATTTAAGTTCTATTTCCCCTTCCAAAGGTTGCTCCACCTCAATTTGATCCTCATTCTTGAGATTTAAATATTAGGAAGTATGATCAGCAAACACGATAGTTTTGACCTACCTGTCATCAGTGGCAATTTGATTTTTCTCTTTAAGGCATGTCATTTCATTTTCGTTAAAAGACACACATCTACTTACTATGACCATATATTATCCTTCCCAATCTCTAAGCCATCGTCTATATCCTTTCGCTCCTTCAACGTAACTCAAAAATATCCCATTTGTAGCCCTTGGTTCCTACTTATCTTCATTTTGACGTGCATAAGCAAAGCATCCAAACATACTTAGTTTGGAATGGTCAATAGAATATCCACTTCAAACATGACACATGTTTCATATTGTAATGATTCAGTAGGACACTTAATAATTAGATATGATACTGCTTTAACAGCTTCTCCCCAAAATAATTACTTTGGAAGACTTGAACTGATCAACATGCTTCTAACCTTTTCTAATAAAGTCACATTTATTCTGTTGGAATTTAGGTGTGACCTGAATTCCTTGTTTGAAATATTGAAAAATTCTAATTGAAGTACACGTCAAGAAAAATTCAAGGTTGAAAAGTCATTGGAGTCCTATGTCAAGTTGAAGTTTTATTTTGGAAGCTCATTGAAAGTTGGAAATTGGTATTGGATTTGAAGAAGAATTTGGGATGGGGAAAACAATTTGGAAACAAAAAAAAATATTTTTTTTTCAGAAACACTCGACCCATTTCACATTTTTCTCTTCTTTTTCGTTTTGGACTCGATTTTTTGACATCCTATTTCATCAACAACTCTGCTAAGACGGTCTGGATGTCCCCTACATGTTCTCTATAAATATTATGCTCTTCTATAAAATTTCATAAGAGTGAGAAAATAGATTACTAGAATTACATGATCAATTGTAATATTCAGTTAATAAAATCTCTTAATTCCTCTATCATATTTCTCGTCTTTATTATTTTTTTGCTTGATCTAATACTTCATTATTTGTCATATAACTTCAACATCTCAATTCGGTGGTTGATTCCACAATATATTCTTTCTGCAAAATTATTTTATTAGAGGTATATGTGACAATTTTGTACATGAGAATACCATTTTCTTTACCAAAATTATCAAACACTTCATTACAAAATTTAAGTACATTATCAGTCTTGAGAATTTTTAAATTCCTGTTGACTTGACTTTCAATAAATGTTTTTCAATTTTTAAATTTTTGGCAGGTATCAGGTTTATTTCAGCAAAATTAATCACCCAAATCTTTGTAGAGAAATCGTCGAGTATGAGGAGAAAATATTTAGCCTCAATTTGACAACCATTCTTTTTACTTTTTTTTTTTTTCTAAAGAGAGTGAGTTTTTTAATAGTATTTTTTTTTTCTTTTGGAAAATATGTGGTTAAAAAGTAAGAAAAAATTTGTATTTATGCGAAAAATATTTTATTTTAAGAATGTTTGGTTGAATATGAGTATGAGAAAAAAGAGTTTTGAAAAAATGATCACCAAATAGGGGCTTAAGACCAGAATATGTACACGGAGTAGCTGGTCCCCAAAGATCAGAACGCAAGTAATCCAATATAGAGACATATTTATGAATACCAGCAATGAAAGGCAATTTCTTTTGCTTTCCAAATACATTGATGACACTTTTTCCAAAACCAAAAAATCGCTATTTGTTCAAATATTGCAGATTCTTCTCTTTTATATAACCAAGTATTTTATACCATATCTTGACTTGTTATTTTGAGAGACTGCAGCAGTAAGTAGATCACCCACCAAGAACGAGGCTTTTGAAACGTAAATCCTCAGGGACTTAAATGATTTTAGCTAAACTGTTATGGATAGAAAATTCTATTTTTTGATGGATACATCATAGCCCTCATCAGGGGCGGAGCCAGATTTTGAATTTAGTGGGGGCCTGGAGGTAGAGGTGAAGGGGTGGGGGTCTACGGGGGTTCGGGACAGCGCCCCCGAAAAATTTCTTTGGATATGTTTTTAACAAAAAAAAATCAAGAAACGTATAAAAGAAGTACTAATCTTTAATTTAGGAAAATCATACTTTGATAACGTTGTATAACTACATGATCATCAATCATGTCGGTGAAATTTGGGCAAAAAAGTTACTGCATTGGTCGCTCGAGTTAGCCTCTAGCGAAAGTTGAACGAGGGTTGAGCAGTCGTCAGTTTTTTTATCATAACTTTTTCTACCGATAACCGATTGTGATGATTCAAATTTCGTTGGAAAGATAACTCGAAGGGCTACAATTCTTCTAGAAATAGCCATATCCAAATTCTAATGTTTTCTATGTGAAACAAGCGTTGAAAGTGGTAATTACAAAAATTAAAAATTAAAAAAAAATTTAAATTTTTTTTTTTTCAAAAATGGTGTGAGGGCCTGGTATTGAAGATAATATCAAATCAATATTATCTTGATTGATATTATCTTTATTTGATTTTTATATTTACCTTAATCACTTTGATTTAATTTGATTCACAATATATTTACCTTTTCTATCAATGTAATTTCCCTATAAATAGGGACATATGCTTTGTATTCATCAATCAATTCAATCAATAAAGATGTAGCCATTATAGAATCTCTTGCTCTCTTTCTCTTCTCCATCTTCTTCTTTCTACATTGTATTTCGTTATTTATCACCTGGCCCCCACCAGGCCCCCACGTGGCTCCGCCCCTGGCCCTCATCCTCAAGAACTCCAACAGAAATTAAGTTTCTCTTTAAGTCTCTGTTTGTTTGCCATTATTTTTGGCAAAAAATGAAAATTTTGACCGTTATTTTCAACCGGCTGGGACCCACCATGACACATTTTGGTCAAAAAACGTTGCTCCTCCAGGCTGCAACGGTAAGATTTATTCTAGAAATGAGAAATAAATGGCAAACAAACAGGGGCTAAATTTGGTATATACAAGATTTTTTTCAAGGGTCTGGATATTATTATTTTCCAATTCCTTTTATTTTGCAAGAACAATTATTTCAAATTAATACTTTACCACCATTTATTTCAAAAAAAAAAAAAAATTCGGAAAAATTAGTTTTTATAGGGAGGCATATTTAAAGTACACCCAAAATTAAGAATCCTCTAATTTCTAATTGAAAAATGATTAGCCATATAGACTTGTTTATTTGAAGTTGCAGTTTTTTCATAAGTTACAGTAGTTCCACCTTCAATCTTTTGAGTGTTTTTCAACTCATCAATTATTTATAACAATATATTATAAAGTGTCCAATTTTTCCACAAAAATAACTTTTTTTTCCCCTTTAGTCTTATTTGTATTCTTTTGTTTATTTTTGTCATTTATCATTTATCAAAAAAAAAAACTCTTTTCTTTTTCCAGATTCTTTGTTTGAAAAATTGGTATTATTATTTCCTTTTGAAATTTTTTTACTTTTTGTCATCAGACTAACTCCACTTTTAAAATCCTCTTAAATTCTAACTCTTTATTTTTCAAAGAAGAAACAATAATATCGATAGTTATGGATTATCTTCCATAGTCAAAATTCATCAAGGTCTTTAACACATCTTTGTTGTAAAAGTAGGGCTTTCATTTTGTAACTATGAAGACTGAAATCTCCTTTGCCAGTCCAAATCTCACCATCTAACCTGGTACTTCCCATTTTATCTGGAAAAAAATTGTTTGTAGTTAAGAGAAACAAAATTTTCTTTTAATAAGAACTTCCAAATCTAAGAAAATATATATTCAATGTCGATTCAAAAGTAATTTCTCATAGAAGATGAATGAAGGAGTCATATTCTATAAAAGTCTATTCTCAAGCACCAAATTATAGAACAACCAATTCAAGTAACAATTTTCACTCAGAAAAATGTTTAATGGTTCAAAAAAAAAAAAAAATGTAAAGACAAACTATTTATTTCTGTGAAATTTAAATCATATGAACTCCACAAAATCACATATTATTCACAATTGGCAATTATATATATTCACATATCAAAGATGCACAATACTCTAATCAAAATTTATAAGGACAGTATACAGTATAATCACAAAGATATATTATGAGCTTGTTTGGTAAGGATTAAAATCGAAAAACTAATCGTTATTGTTGACTTTTATTAGACGAGTGAGACCCAATAACGGTTATATTTTTAATTTTAATCCGATTAAAATTCCTCCCAAACAAGCTCTATATATCTTGAAGAAACTGTAGTCTCCTCAAATTCTTAGGGTTCTCACATGAAACCCTAGAAAAAGATAGATCCATGAAAATTTCTTTCAAGAGATCCAAAAATATTGCAAAATATTGTCAGAATGGATACCACAAGTTTCAAGAGTACACTACCAAGATTTATTTTATGCTTAAAGAAAATCAGATTTCACCCTTAAGTTATAGATCTGTGACGATCTAGAATTGAAAACCATGGAAAAGATAGTAACAATTATTTGAACAAGTTTTCGAGATTACATGACAATGCAAAAAGTATGAAACTAGAGAATTCTCAGAATATACGGATCTCTCTCTCTCTCAACCTTGGTCTCAACCACATCAAATAACCAGAGGTTACTGCTCTACTAAAACACTATATATATCCTCGAACTCCCTATTTACATCAATCTCACACATAAAATAAAAAATTAGAGAGAAGACGAAGAAGCAAATAGAAAAAGCCAAAGAAAACCCTAGAAAATCTCTCGAATGAGAGATATCAGCTATTTAGATAAAATAGCCCAATAACCTAGCTTTGAAACTTTTGGAAGAGATGTTTCTCGTGAGTTGCTTACCAGATGTCAATACAATCAACGACATCATAATTGGTCATTGCATGTTGATCGTGTTCATGAGGCTGCCAAATTGGTAGATAGGATGCTTATTCGACGGTTTTCCCCTGATGCTATAACTAATGGAGTTTTAATGCAAGGGCTATGTTATGTAAATCTGTCACTCATCAACATCTCAGCATTTCACAACAATATAACTAGAGTCGCATGTTCAAAACGCGAGCTTACAAGTATAAAGACAATCGGATCAGCCCAAAATCCATTTAATCATTGGGCTTGGTCTGAATTAATACATTTGGCCCAAAAATGTTAATCATTATAATTTGGAGGAAATTAGGGGTGGGCAATAAAAATTGGAAAACCGATTTGTACTACTGGAGGCAGAGGTGGTGGTCACAAATTGTTTTGTTGATTGTGATCAATAAATTAGTTGGTGTGTGATCAATAAATAATACATGACCGATTGTGACTAAAAAATTGATTGGTGTATGACCAATAAACAATATGTGAGTAATGAAAAAGGTAAATTGCGACCAAGAAATAATGTGTGACCTAAAAAATAGTTAATTTGTGACCGATAATTTGAAATTTTGTGACTGTCTAATAAATTGTGACTTATAATATCTGTGACCTATAAATAAATTGTGACGTTTCAATTTTTGATTTGTCAGGGATGAACAAATTGTGATTTATAAAATTTTTTAATTGTGATCGTAAGAAAATTTATGACATAAAATTTGTGATTTTTGACCAATGAAAAATATGTGACTTATTAATTTGATAGAATTATGACCGATGAATAAATTGTGACGTGCAAATTTTTGATTTGTAATCGATAAACAAATTGTGACCTATAAAATTTTTGAATTGTGCTCGTAAAATAATTTGTGACATATGAAAATTGTAAAGTAAACAATTAATAATATGTGATCAATTATATGGAATTATGATCTTAATATATTTAATTAATAAAATACATATTTAATTAATTAATAAATTTTAAAAAACTTTGAGATTTGAAATTTTAAACATGACCTCTTACATTTGAAATTGGTAAAACTAAACCTCTTAATTATGAAATCTTCCCTTATAATATCTTCCTCACAATTGCTTAACATGATTGTCGTCGGAGGATAATTTTTCTTAAAACATATTGATAGTAACATAGATGTTACTTTTGAAGTAAACATCATAATGATCTTGATCACCAATACATTATATGGACCGTTTCACGCCCACCCCCCCCCCTCCCCTCCCCTCCCCTCCCCTCCACTGGGGGAGCGA